ATTTGTCCTCTTTCCCCTTTGAACCCATCGTGGGAGTTCGAACTCTGCTGGCAGATTGAATTTAGAAATATTATAGCTCTGCCTGGGAGTCTGCTGCATCTTCCAGCTCTCGGAATCTTTTCAGGGTCTCTAAATTGCAGTCACCAATATTTTCTTGGGGCATTAAAATCGTAATAAGTTGCAACGACGGGAGGACTATTGATTTTTTGAACGATTTTTACTCAATCCAGAGAAGTGTTTATGTTTTTTAAATGGAGTCGTTATCATCTTGATTAGCTTGAGGGAGAGCATATTTCGCATCGATTGAATTGCAATTAATTTTCTCATTCTAGTAATTATTGAGAATTCAGTTAAGGTCACGAGATCATTTTTTAAAGCTGTATTGCTTTCATAATTGGAACTTAATGGTCTTTCCTGCAGTTGGAGAATTACTTTTGAGATTTCCATTTTAAAAAATTAACATTTTTACAACTTATTTTACAACCACTTTTCTGGTTAATTAAAAACGGCGGATATTACTTAAAATAGTAAAAATTCAAATGATTATTTTCCTGAGTTCTCGAACTATTGGGAATTCGAAATTTAAATTAAATTCCATTAAACTCAAACAATTGAACTGAATACTTTTTTCGTAATATTTTTTATAATGAAGAAGAATTGATGGACGCAGGTTGAGAACAATGCTTCTGGGATTATCTAAGAGGGAGAAACATTTGAGAAATAGCGATCCCTTCATTGGTACATGAGACTGTGGAATATTATATACTGAAATCATCGTTTTCTGTGCGGTAATACATTGTAATTGGTCTAGCAGATTTAATTGGATCTCGTCCATTATGGGACCTCCTGCAAAATACAGTTCGTGGCACTTTCCGAGATTATCCAATTCAGAATGATGGAAGCTATTACCTTCGGCTTAGAATCTCCAACAATATCACATTCCTATTTATGCAGTAAAACCAGAAAATTTTTGGATTGAATGGGGATTACACATTTACATTTTTCGGCATTAGACTGAGAAAAAATTTTTGTAAACTAAAAAAAACTGTATTAAAACTAATAAATGAAATTAATTAATAGTCGCGAATACATATGTGACTGTGAATGCTGAATATTCGATTGAATAAATTTATTTAAAATAACTGATTGAAATTTTAGAGTTCAATGGTAACCACTTGTTTGCAAGAATTCAAATTTCAAATTACTATTCGTTAAAAAAATATTTCGTAACTTCTCATTATTTACAAAAAAGTAACATACACGAAATTTTTTTTTCAGTGTATGTGAATTAGTGAGTGATCAATTTTCTCAATTGAACTGTCATTTAGTCTTCACTGCTAATATTTAAAGTCTCAGAAATGCTCGAAGCAGCTACTTCCATCCAATCATGTCCCATCGATTTGCCTGACCCGCCGATAGGGGAGAACAGTCAACACTATCTCTCTGTTTTGCCCTGGAAATTGAAACTTCCGGTCAGCATATAGTTGGGCATACATTATCAAACTGCTGTATCCCCAGCTCAGTTCTGACAAAGTCTTACTGTCCACATGCTGCAGTAACAAACACAAGTAGCCGTGGGAGACCATCTCCCCTAATGATCCCGATAGTTTGCCGGAAGCATTTGGAAACCAGAAGCGGTGGATGCCCCAAAGTACCGAGACAACAAGCCCTGATTTAACAGCCTGATACCCCACACCCAACATCTCCACTCCACCAGCGCAATTCCCGGAATTTTAATTAAAAATTCTTATCCACGAATTGAGTTCAATTTACTGGATCACATGTTGTCTGAGGTCTGATTGTGGTCCAGTGAAAAATTCAATAAGAGCGGTCGAATTACTCTGGAAGATCTGACGATTTTGGAATTACTTATGTGAATTATGTAGATTGTGGATTACGTGAACTGATAATTTTTCGGTGATTTATTTGTGCTGAATTCCTTAGGCATGACGTCTGTAATCGATTAAACAATTAGGTTCCATGAAAAGGCTCTGTGAAAGCTGTTTCCTTTAGGAGAATAAATTGAAATTAATGTCCACAACAGAGTTGGGGAGTTTGAAGGGGTTGGAAATATTGAACTATCGAATATTGTCTTTGGCGGGACAGGATGCCCAGCAGGGAGCTGTCATCGATCATACTGGAGTCTCTGTGTTTCAATCGACGCTGTCATCAACAAAGCCATCAGGCCAGCATCATGATTGGAGTGCTCTGTCAATTCATGCTTTAATCTCCTACCCCAGGCTGTACGTAATTTTTATCGTCAACCGTGAACGAAATTATAATTGTATATTGTTTTATAGTTAATTATTGTCAGAGATGATCATCCGATTGGCGGTTATTTTATTTTGTACACACGAGGAAATGGCAAATCAAAAAAATGAGTCAAGAGATTAACAGTTCTTTTAAATAATCATTTATCTGTAGAGAGGGAAAAAAAACCTAGAGGTCGGAGAGGGTATAGATATGGACAAGTAAATAAATTATACCAACTATATCGATTTTCTTTTAATACTTCATCGGGAGAGACATTCCTATTGATGTTGTAATAATGACAGGAATTTTTACCAATTCTTTATCAATTATTGAGGCAATAAATTATTTTATAATCATTTATTGAAATAGTGGGCATCTGTTTTGTTTGGCATTGAGTGAATGATTGTCAATAAAATGATAATTTATCATCGATGACAGGTAATCACTCGTAATTTTTGGGAGGGTAAAATTCATATTCATGTTCATTTGAACGAAACTTTTCGAGCGAATATAAATTCATCAGAGCTAGAGGTATTTTTTCAGTCGAGCAGTGAACAATATTTTTTCGGCATTACAAAAAATATTTTCACGGAGCAGAAAGACTAATATTTCTACTGGTGGAAGTCACAGCTAAAGGGATTCTCCCGCCTACAAATCCATGAGTTGAATAACATTTGAATCCCGTGAACTAAAAAAAAACTCTAACAATTTGAGTGCAAAATAGCTCACGGGGTCGATAATCTCTCTCTGTTAAAAAGCGCATGAGGTTTTTTTAGTTTTAGCACGCGTTTGCGCATGCCGGGAGTTTTCAATGGACTGATATGTGCTTTTATATTTGCAAAAAATAGTACATGTTTCCGGGTTTATTTCCCTTTTGACTGGTGCTCCAGATGTTATCAGCTCTTCTGACTGATGGATTCTGATTTTCTCACAGGCGATTCATCAGAGATACGGAATTGGAATAATACTCACGAATTGTGTAATGGGGTCATACATGCATTATGGGTCAAGGTTACTGGGTGCTGAGTCAAATTTGGGTCGAGTTGAATGAATTATAATGCTGGCAATTCATAAATGCTGTTGATTTACATCTCGGGTTTGTTGCAAACCCCGAGGGAATTTAATTAGTCATTGTGGGGGAATAAGTTGGGGTAAGTCGATTGTACTTCAATGAAGGAATTAATGAGATTGTGATTTAAGTTGCCATTCATCTAGAGCATTAAATTCCATTAACTTCTCAATATTTTTATCTCCTCCGGGAAATTTCAGTTTCTGGAGGAGGAAACTGGAGGAAAATAGGAAAATACGGAGTTTTATCTCCATAAAGAGATCCGATAAGAGTCCTGAGTTTATAGCTCTTGGAAGAATAAATTGAGGGGACGAATTCGCGAATTTGTCAACTCTTTTGAGGTTCGGGAAGTTTAATCGATGGAAATCGTGGTGTTGGCAGTTGGAATAATCAAACTGTTTGGGTATTGAGCTCTGAAGGATTCAGTGGTGTCAGGTTCTCCTCCAATTTGTTCGATAAATGTCAGGTCAATCCTGCGATATAAAGTGCAAAGTCCTGTCTCAACAACGTAAATACCCTCCACAAAACGAGAGATCATTATTTGTTATTTCTTCGTCTATACTCTTCCAATTCTCTATCATTTTTTTTTGTACAAAGAGCAGAAATGAAAGAGTGAAATTGGATGACTCGACATTTCCGTCGACGGTAATATCTCGACGTTGTAGTTTGCAACAACGAGCACTGGAAATTCCACCGTGAAAAGAGAGTACTCGCGACCTTTTTTTCACCTAGTTCAACATCACTCGTACTCGAAGGTTCAACTTTGGCGTTATACATGAGGGCGTTGGAAATTCAGGCGAGAAGTGCAGGGAGAAAGAGTATGGGGTGATCGCTCGTTGGCATTTTTGCGTCGGGGTAACAGTTGGGTTGAATATTCTCAAGTATCTTTCAAGGAAAATTCTTGACTATTGTGTTGTCTCCGCGACTGTGACAGTGAAACATTCGAAATAGTTCGGTACGGAACTCGTATTTCTTCGATGTGAATGGGTTAAAAATTTCTAAATTTATGGGGTTGAGTCCCACCATTGAAGAGACGAGAGAAGTTGATCCGGAATTTGACGAAAAAAGGGACTTCTTCAGGAGTTTCTCAGATATTTTAAGGAAAAGTTTCGTCAACTCAAATTTCTCATCTCACTATTCTACTTTCAGGCATCTCCACCATTAGAAATTTTCTATTTTCATTCAGATGGGCGATCGCTTTACCAACTCCTTCTGAATTGTTATCATTTTCAGTCAATAAAATGGCATTTAGATGTTGCAGTAGTGACTAATTCCGCGGGCAATTCCAAAGATTGCGATCTTGTAATTTTACAAGTTCATGGGAAAATTAATGAAATTTTTATCAGCATCTAAATATCATTGGCATGTGTAAAGCCCAATTGAATCTTTTATGGAATTTTCAATTAATATTTACATCCTGATTGAAAATTCGATAAATATAAATGGCCCAACGCGGGATGCGCGCCAATCGATCCGGAATTCATATCCAAAAGAGTGTGACAGTGTGAAAAATCAATTTTAATGACAATTATTTCGATTTACCAATTTAAATGGAAATATAAATACCGAGAAATGATGAAATAATGAATAAGACTTTTCTTGCTATATCCAAAATAATTCTCATAAATGAAACCAGTGATTATTCTTTCAATTAATTTCCACTTCTGCTTCATTTCAGGCACTTATTTTATTCTTTACGACTTCATAGACTACTTTGAGAAGGACGAGCCGAGTTTCCTCCAGCGTGATAAATTCCTCCACATCATAAACACGATATTCAAAAATATGTCCGAAGTGGAGAGGGAGGCAATAGCATTCCAGGTGAGTGTCAAAATAATTTACACCCCAAGTTTCCAATGATAAAAACTAATAAAAGCCCACCCCTAACATTGCCCCTAGCTCGTAAACGTTGCAGAACATAAATTCCTTTGGTGGTGACGGGTCACAGTGTACACAACGACATAAACGTGGTCACGAGACTTGTACAAGAAACTTTTACTCGAGTGCACCAGAAACCATTGGCCAACCCCTTTACAGTGAAAGGGAGTGTTATTTCTACAATTGAGGCAGTCCCTGTTCTCACTCAACTCTCTACATTGCCGTACCTATATTTTATATATCAGGGAAATATCAACTATGAAAATATCTCGGTTTCTCCATGGAAAAATTGGCGCACGAGCTACCATAAATTTATGTCGTAAACTCACGTGTAACATCCCGAATATTCTCATATTTTACGTCGAAATTCGAGATAGGGATCATTCTGGTCTTTTCCCTCGCAAATTTTCAGGGCAATTCTCCTCTCTCAATTCTCCGCTCCTCCACCAAAGATATCAGTCTATCCGCGACATTTATACACAGCAATCTAATTCAATTTTGTCATCTGATGTGAGCACATCTCGATCGTCAATAAATACACCGTCTTTATTTCAATACATGATATGTCGAGTTATACTTTAATATCCACACCAAAACCGCCACTAAAATATATAATCCAAAAATCAACTATCCAAAATATATCTCAGATAATGATTTTTTTGGGGAAACGTTTGCGCTACGTATGAGAACATAATTGACATATATTTCAGGATATATTTATTGTGGGTGTGGATTTTCTATCTGATGGGACACGATGGGATTGCTCGAGTAGGACACCGTATTTTTTCAGAGTAAATCCTTCTGTGGGGAAAACTTCATCTGTATTTATTTGTTTTTATTGGCATCCCCTTTGTTAATGGAAAGGCTACGATTTACTGATAAGAGTTGGCGATTGGACGTATCCTGGGATCTTAGATGACAACGATAACTAGACCAACGGGTGAAAGACCTTTTTGTCTTCTGCAATTCCCCAGTCTGGTTTATTCTCCCTCTGCATTCATCTTTTTACTTCACCCTCATCATCCACCGAGATAAAACGGGAAGTCATACGCAGTTGAGAACAGTCCAGGTAATTAAAAAGCGAAGGAGGCAAACGTAATGAAACACTATAGCGTCTGCGCCCTGTGACATTAGAAGAGGCCATTTGTTTGCTCTATTTTGACTTTTTTTTTTCAACTCATTTTTCCACTACATCACAGCACCCTCACACACGTGTAATAGAAAACAAAGGGCTTTGTTCGGATGTCGGTGGGAAAGAGAAACAACAAATGCTGAGAGCGCGTTGCGTCCAATTTCTTTGGCAAACGTGTGGCTTTTTCTGCTCGAGTTCGGCAACAAAAAGGCGAAATTAATGAATGGCGGGAATAAAAAAAATATAGAAACCGAACGAAAGACCTCGCAAGTGAGTTTTCACCGGCAGCTAGTGACCGGATAATTGGTTATTGTTCGATTTGTCGCGGTGGAATTTAGTCTCTGGAATTTTAATTCTTCTCTCTGATTATTTTTTTAGCTTTCTCGTTTTCACGGATCAACTTGACCCAATTTTCTACCAACCCCTGAGTGGCAAGACGTTTCCCGGGCTTTCAAATAAACTTCAATCCTGGGAGGGGGTTGGAACCAAAGCTTTCACGTGAGAATTTTTCAAGTATGTATTGACGTAAATTAGGAGAGAGTGGGTCAACGAGGGGGAGGTGCTAGAATTTAGGGATCCTTTGAAGTTTTATTTGTCGGGCTGAATTTTCGCAAATGTGATCCTTCCAGCTCGCTCCCTTGGTGCATTAAATCTTTTTCCCCTGCCCCAGTCCCTGCCGTCAGTTTCTTTTTTTTTTACAAAAGCGCAATCAATTTAATTGAGACAATTCAGTCATTTTCACGAAAAAATTAAACGAAAAATTGCGGAAAAATGAAGGTGCCGCACAATAAATTTGGTTGAATGAAAAGAGTTAAGGAGAAAGACGAGAGGTACATGAAGCTTTTGGGTATAAAAATCTATACGGCCGTCTTGAATGTAGATTTTTATTAGCTTCACCTGATTGTAATGAATTGATAATGTGATGGAGAGTTCTAGAAGAATGTAGAGGAGTAAATCAACTCGGTGCGTAATGAATTCTTCTTGGAAAATGCATAATTTTCATTACCACTGTGTAATCAATTTATATGTCCTCGTCAAAGAGCTCGAGCTCTCCCTAGGCAGTTGTGGCTTTTCCTTTGTTATTGAATATAAACTCAACAGCAGAACCTGCAGTACTCGTATGTGTCCTATTTTGTTTCGAATGTGAAACTCTTAGGGGCATACCATTTCTCGGCTTTGTTCTGAGAAGACATTGTAACAGTTTCACGGAAAACGACTAATTGCATGTAGCAAACGTGGAATATTCATCGGGGTAAACAAGGAAATTCTACACGACTCCACCAGTTGTTTTGTCATCAAGATAGTGGCCAAAACAGATTATTCTGGACGTGAGAATTGGAATGCATGTTAGAGTTTGACGGAAATACTTTTACTCCACACGGAAAATGCTACTCTCCAACTAGTTAATAAATCCTAGTTAGACTTTCTGGGGAAAATTTTCAGCAATAACCCGGAAAATTTTAAACTAGTGACAAATTTCGTAGCAAACTGTTCCTCGACACTAAATTCCCACTGAACCGTCCGATGTGTCGATTATAAATAATTCCGCTCGGGTCGTCAACGATTTGGTTGATAAAAAAATCGTAGAAATCGTTACTTTATTCTAAACTATAATAGGAACATCGTTTTGGCATGGAAACATTGATTGGCAGGTCCTACAGCAATTATAATTGGTATCCCAGCGATTTTTTAATTTAATTTTCAATTGTTTAAGGTCCCATTTTTTTCCTCATCTAGTTCCTCATTTTAACGCTTCCAAGGATTCCGTTTCTGGAACTCGGTGATATTCCAGATGAATTAGTCGAATCGATTGAATTCCGATTGGCAAATCGAATGTTGATGCTATCAACTTATTTCATTATCTCCCCACCGGGAATATCCAACTTCGATTGATTCGCATTATGAACACTCGCACTCCTTCCGTCTCTGACTTGCGATGCTCCTAAAATTATAAAATTACTCAAGTTCATTTGAGAAAGCTGTGGCATTTTTTTTCTCGAAGGCATTACTAATGCAGAAGTTTTCACGATGAAAACTTTAATAGCCTGGGTTACTCTTCAAAACTAATCAAATCGAGTTATTAAAACTCTTCGGAGGGAGTGGAATATTCAGAAAAGCTTTACTAATAACGTCACATTGTGGCGAGAGTAACTAGTCAACAGAAATAAATAAAACCATCGAGTGAAGGACGAGTTTCTTCAAAGAGGCGAAGGTTAATTCGACATAAACGAAGAGCTCTTCAAGTTTCTCCATCTCGACAACTCAATAAAAAAACAAACGTCTCAATATTTATATTGCAGACTTGTGCGTTGTATACTAACAGAAAACTTGAATGTAAAAAATTCCATTTCATCTAGTAGGTCCATTTTAGGCCCATTTTATCGACCCCCAAAATTAACGTAAAATCCCGCTGAAATAAAAAAAAAACGTTTTTTAATGTGCATATAAATTAATTTTACATTTATATTCTTTAATTTTATAAATGGAGCATTTTTCATATTTACTCAATAGAATCCAAAACTCAATTTTTCGCAGACTTACCAGCTCGAAAAATCGTTATAAGCCACCGCAGGGGTTACAAATTTAAATATTTTTTCATATCGCGATGATCTCAAAAACTATCCACCCGAGCCAGAAATTTTAGGAGATCATTTTCATAATATTTTACCATTTGAAAAATAATGCGAAAAACCGTAACACTCGTTACATCTGAACTTTCAAAAAAAAAAGAAAGAAATGGAAAAAGTAAAGAGGAATACATTCTATCTACATACAGGATTTGAAGTCTTTCATACAAACATTACGTTCCAGTCTCATTACCTGTTTGTTGCAGCGACATGAAACCAGAAGTCAAGCCAGTGGAAGAATAATGTGAGCAGGATTTTCCCAGGAATACACGACTTCCTATTTGTGTAGAGTAGCGTATGCAGAATAAGATGATTTCCATAAAACTATTCCACGTGTTTCCCCGATATATGCAATATCTACAGTCTCTTCGTATCCTTCTTTGGCCACACGTCGCCAGAGGTATTCCATACCCATGAACTTATCCTGGGTAATATCCATTTTCTTTCCTCTCTCGTGTCTTATCGCTACTCTTCTAGTTTCCTCGCTGCACTACGGAAATATATGAATAAAAATGAATTCGGCGAGTGAACGGCTAACATATCTTTCTTGTTATGGAAATCCACTGAATTATTTAAAGATTCATCATTTAATTTTTCCATTCTATCCAACCTTTCGGTTCAATCCAGCAATTTAGTTTCATTCAGGAAATGCTAATCAAGACGAAGTGATGGAGATCCTGAAAACCCCGCCATTCTTAATTATTTTATTAAATTTCTTTGATTTATCGATCTAATTCTGTAATTAATCCATAATAATAACGAGCATTTCCTTTTTACTGATGAGGGCAAGTGGAGGTAAATGATAAAAATAGTCTCCAGTCATTTAATGCACCATAAAAATTAGAAAAATACAATTTGAGCTACCACAAAACATCCATTGAAAAGGGAACGCTACATTTTCGATATTATTTTCATAACAAAATAGCAACAAATGATAATACCGCCAGGAGAATTCCTGTGAACAATGGAAGATTCCACCGGAAAAAGCCAGAAGGCATTACCATAACGAAATGGCCAATGAGTGATTAATTTGGCTGCATTGACCCCCTCTCTATTTCTTCCACCTGTTCGTTAATTAATTACACCAAAAACAACATCGATGGATTGTGTATGGCATACCACTGAGAGAACAACAGAGGCGACTGAATTATGAACGAATAAATCGTTGGATATTCCGGAGATTTACACCGACCGCTAAATAACAGACGAACCTACCCAAAGCCTGTCTTGCCCTTCTCCAGGGATTAACGAATACCTCCCATACTTTTTTTTTTTACGCAAGCCCCACGGCTTTTGCCTTCACTGACTCCATTCTTTTTCCCGGGAAAAAGTCTGCTCTCTGTATTTTTTTTTTTCGTTTCTTTTATTGCTCTTTTGGGCTTTTGTTGGGAGTCTTCACTTTGCACATTATTTTCGCACCCAGAGGGCAAGACCCATGAAAAAATTAACGGGTAATTGGGTGCATTAAAAAGATCAAGCTTAATGCGCAGAGAGAAATAGCCAATAAAAATTACGTACCATTTTCGCAATTTTGGAGCGAAAGGTGGTCTCTAATATATAATAATTTATTAAAGAAATCATCGTAACGTTTTATGTCACCGCACTATTTTCATACTATACTGTACTTTATATATTCATGTATATGTACATATTTTTAATTATATATTCATATAATTTGCTTTATCAACTGTGAAATGGCCATTGATCAATTCTTCGTTGTAACGGCGTAGATGATGTGATTGGAGTACGCCCAACAATATACAAACATATATCCTTAATACTATTCGAAGCTTAGCTCAACCTTGTACAAAAGTGACCGAAACAGTCAATAGTTGACCCTTTGGTTTTATCCTCTTAAATTTCACTATTAATGGTTGACTCTGTGATCCGAATTCTCGATCGTTAAAATGATCCCTCTACCATTTTTTTTTATCGTTCGGAGGGTTGTCGTAATTTCCGAGTTTAGAATGGTAATTCCCAGTTGCAAGTTCAATTTAGTCTGGAATTTGAAAACAAAATGGCAAATGACGGTGGTGGAAAGGTATTTTATAGTTATCTACCCGAGTGGACGTACGAAATGACAAGCAATCTCCGAATTAGAGTGATTCATTGTTCGCCTATTTCATCGTCCAGATGGAACAAGGTATTTGATCAGGTCATCCAGGTCCGGTGTTATTGCGAAAGGTTTATCCGCTTGTGCGTTCTCAGTTATGAGAATTGGCTGGGGATCTCATCTCTGTGTCAGCACACGTTAGATCCCTCTGTGGTAGCTGTCTCACAGTAATATACTGATTCCCATCGTGAGAGTCTAATCAATGAGCTGTAAACACATCAAACCGATCCAACAGTATATTCCAGGGATGGAGAGAGAATCGTAAACAGCGACTCCAATCTGGCGGCCGGATCTCGTCGTCAGATGAGCTTTGGATCCAGCAACATTCAGCTTGTTGCAGCACTGGAAGATTCGCACGGATGATTCACAAATCGGGGATGTACGATTGAGTTTGGGGCTTGGGGATATAACGATCTGGCAGATTGGGAATTTCGTGATCAGAGCTATACCGATAATCTCGATATTTTTTTTTATTTCAGTACACCGATTGGGAGCAGCCCAAGGACGGGTATCGATATCAGAAAGCTGTTGCTGATGCTGTCGGTGATTACTTCTTCATCTGTCCGTCCACTCATTTCGCTCAACTCTTCGCTGACAGAGGGATGAAGGTCTATTATTATTTCTTCACTCATGTAAGTATTTGAAAAATCATTACAGTGATTGAACAATTTTTTATTCTATTTTCTCAAGTTTTCGAGAATTTATTGGCCCGTGCAGTCATAATTGCCCTTTATCTCTCGTCATTTTCCCGCAACGTTTTACCCAAAATGTCTGATAAACCAGAGATAACTGCCGTAAAACTCGGGGTTCTCCTTGCCGCCATCTCGTTATTTTATCACTATAAACACAAAAGCATTTGTATGTTCTACTACAGCCGCTAGGAAGAAATATGTGCGCGTTTTATGGTGAAAATTCATGAAGATGCGGAGGAAAAGTACCAGAAAAATTACCATAAAGTATAGTGAATTGAGTTCATTTAATGAAACAGCCAAATTTTTCAGTCATCACTAGATCTCTCATTTTTACTGAACGTTGGTCCATTTTTAATGAGGCAATAACTTTTTTTACTTCGTACTTCGCTATGACACTGAATTTTCAAGAGAAATGGAAATTCAGCTCGCTAGACTAAAAAGTAAAATGCAATTAGGGAGAAGTTTCTCCGCGGTTGCGCTAGCGGAAGCGAAATGGAACTGAGATTTTCACATTTGCATGGAATACATTTTTCAGGAGCCGTTGTCAACGCCGGGTTTTAATACAGACTGATTTTTTTTATTTTCTCCTGCGACTCTGTTCGACATTTTTCGGCTTTTCCCACTCCAATCTACCCCTGTGAGAAATAAAACGCATCCGCATTATGAATATACAAAACTGCAAGAGAATTCTCAGGCTCCAACATATTTACTAGTACGAGACATCATTAAAAGGTGAAAATCCATTATCGAAATAAAAAAAAGATCATTAAAAAACAAGAAAAAAAATCCTATAGAATGTTAACGAAGTGAACGTTTACTCGCCGAACGAAGGCAACGATTTAGTATTAATATTTAGTATTCAACAGATTGTGAAGCGAATAAAAAAAATAGATAAGCTACTAATAATTTCGATATGATGAGCACGAAACTAGAGAATCCTTTCATCGTAGTATACGAATGAAGAGCCAGAAGCACAGCCTCACAAATACGCAGCTAATTATCCGTCAATTAAGTCTTTGTCATGTTTGCCGTTTGGCGATTGAAAGATAACGATGAAAGAAGATGAGTGCAGTGAGTAATCTGTCGCTCTCAACTGGTGAATGCCACCGAGGAGATTCTCTGTGAAGCGAACAAGAGTTTAGCTCAAAGGGGTAAAATAAAAAGGCAACCCCCAATGCTCTCTGGGAGAAGTGTATGTGCGTGGAATAAAAGCACCGTCTAAAAGTAACTAGAAAAAAAGGGGTGAAGAATAAATTACGTTTCAACTTATATCGTTGAAAAATCTTTTAGCCAGGCGCCTGAATGCACCGTCGAAAGGTCGTCAGATGGTGGTTGGAGTATCGCATAACCCATTTCTATCTCGCCTCCTGAAAAATAGAAAAATAAGTGAAAAGAGTGGGAAAAAAGCCGCTTGGAAAGTTGGAACGATGTGTACTAGAGGGAGTGTATGAAAGTCGCTTACCCCCAGTTGCAATTGAAAATTCCAGGAAAAGTTTTTCCAGCTCAAGGGGAAAATCTTGGAAGAAAAAAGAGAGTTGAATCGTTTTCGGGGATGGATGAGTAAGGGAATGTCGATTTTATTCGTTGCAGTGTCGAGCACAGGGTCTCTTTGTTGACTGGGGGTTCAAGAAGGGGATGAAATAAAAAAGCTATTCCTCGAGGAACATTTCGAGTTATTGAGGAGATTCTTTGGACATACGTCGGAGATCTCCTGCATACATATGCTCTTTTCACTGGAATATTCCCTCGTGCTCCAGCTCATGTTTCATATTTATTTTTACATCCTTTTTCACCCGCTACATTGCTGTACATTCAACATTCACATCTTTCACGTAAATAAAAAATCAAAAAAAGAGTGTCAGAGACAGGAACACCCGGAACTGATCTGCGGTGGACACCAAAATATTTGTTTTTTAGTCTCAAGTATAAACACGGTAAAAAAATTAATACTTCAAACAATTGTAGAATATATTTGATTCAAGTACTTTATTTTTTACGTGTTTAGATCACTTTTTTTCGATGTACTTCAATTTCTACGGAATAGGAACTCTCGCAAAAAGAATATATATGTTAATAATTATATGCAATGCAGCTGAATGGAGAAATCTTGTATCGTGTTTTCGTTTTTGTTTTTTTTTTCAGTTTCAATGCAAAAAGTGGAAGTACGTAACCAGGAAAAAGCAAAAAATGTCTCCCAGTTCAAATGTTCATTTTGGGCATAACGCAGATCTGTTTCTAACGCTCTTAAATTTAATAGTATTCTCGTTCTGATTCGTCATTCATCTGCAGGATGTGAATGTTGAATACGATGTAGCGAGCCCAAAATATGTGAAAAGGAATACGAAACATGAGGGTAAGGAAGAGGAAATGTTCCCGTGGAAAGAGCAAGTGTATGCAGTAGATCCCTGACGGACAGCAAGAGAATCCCTCAATAACTTGAAATGTTCCTCGGGGAATAGCTTTTTTATATCATCCCCTTCTTCCATCCTCAAACAAGGCAAACCTCTGTCCAAACAGCTTCCTGGAAAATGAACTCACTCCCCCCCGAAAAACGATTCCACTTTTTCACCCCAGGAGCCTTTCTTCATGAACTATAAATCGAAAAAAATCCATTTTCTCATTTTATTTTCAATAAATTTCAGCTTCCTTTAGAATTTCAAACTAATAAAAAAGTTTTGTAAATAAAAAAAAATGGAAATCTAATTATTTCTTTATGTAAATTAAGAAAAATATTTTTTCATTTCTCACTAGACACAAATAATAAATATAATAGAATAAAATAATTCAATTTTCTGTGTATCTCTGTGTTTTTACTACATATTTATTGAAAAACAGTAAATCGGCGCGACTATCAAAACATTGAATAAAAAAAACAAGTTGCGTACCTGAAAAATATTTATAATTATTTCCCATGTAACTCAATTAAAACAATGATTTTTGATCGGAAACGAATAAGTTTACATTTTACTGAATTTTTGTCTCAGTGCAGAAAATATTAGAATTGATCTTTCAATTCAATTATCCCGAGTGTATGAGAATAAAAGTTTTCTCCTGTATGACCTACTGAAAATTTTCGAGCAATGTATATTTGCGAACATTAACCGGAAAGTACATGGACTGGATTGAACGCGGAAAGGTCAACTCCACGATAGCCCGCCGTGCAAAATACCAAAATTGCAGTGTGGGAAGTGCATGTGGGCGTCATATCGCACGTGGGATGATCATGAAGACCCTGGCACTCAATCCCAAAACTCGCCAACCAATTTTTGCCGAGAAAATGTCATTGGCAAAGAGACCGATCCATAAACTTTTCAAATAACTCTTCCCACTTCCTCAATGGCTCTCCAAACACTCCAAGGACTATTGAAATAAAATTCACTCCAACGAGAGTATTAAAATGTAAATCGATCAACGACGACTGCATTCACCGGTCTATATTTATTCCATCGATTATCTGTAATTGCTAACCCACATATTATACGGAATATTGTTGAGGATATTTTTGCGGTAATGTTACTGAATAAATTACAGATAATTGAGCGTGAGTGCTACGATGACGTAAAAACGGGCCACACATATGGGACACGATATTTTATTCACAGACAACTGGGTGAAACTGTAATTGATACGTGGCACGACGGTATATATAGTACAGCATTCAATGAATTAACTATTGGGTATCTACTAGGAAATTGAATTTCAGCCGGCGACACATCTCATCGGAGGCAAGTCTCCCTAACCGAAACCAACGGTAATCCAATCTTTCCTTCTTCGCGGGCTTTACTACATCGTAATGCATTATTTGCGTCTATTACCAATCAATTTTCCATCAATAAATTAAATTGCTAATCAAAATTGTTAATTTAAGCAACTTTCAAGCAACTCCATCCAATCATCCCTCGTTATAATCCATAAATTCCCCAATAAATTGAGAATAATTTCTCTTTTAAAAAGCGATAGTATATTATGCTGCAAGGATGCAAGGGACTTTCGAAAGTTGTCATGCCAATCCAAAGCCGTTGTTTAGTCATCAGTCCAAAGTCCAATATCAGGACGAGGCTTTGCCGATTGAACAGCACCGGCAATTCTGTTTGGGAAAGCAGAAAATGTTTGTACTGCAAATGCAGACACGTGTAGTACTTATTATCCACCAGTTGGAGTTGGATATTTTAACTTGGATAATGGAACGGAGAACTAATAAAAGAGTTAATGAAGAAAGAAGTTGAGCCCTCGTACGAGGCCATCGAGGCTGATTGGAGAAGACAAGTTTGGAGTTCGGAATCAAACGTTTAGTTTCATTAAGAGTAACTCTTGGCGTGAATGGCGTGATGAGAGGATAGATATGCTCTCTATGTCAGGAAGCCCCGAACTTCGATAATCCTCTTAAGGAAGTCTGGAACTTGGTGAGGGCAGGGGTGACGCTGAGTGCCAGAGGGCATTTATCCTTTTGAGTGGACCTTACTGCCTTCACCTGATGCCGCTGATACTTTTATCCAGGCAAAAAAAAAACTTGATGGACCTCACAATTCTCCAGGAAAGGATGAAACACTATTTAATCCGAGATTATGATTATGAAGGGACGAGGTGTTGAAATTTTATTCCGCAATCAAGAACACTATTTCGTTTTAATTACGCTTTAGTCGACTCGACCGAGTGAAATCATTTGACAAAAATAGTGACTTCAGGATGTTCTGCCCCTTTTACCCAAAATTACCGGTTTTCCGAGTTTTCTGCCAATTCATTGGTTGAACTGACGCAAAAAAAAACCGTTTCCGTATTTTATCACTATTTAATGACTCCCAAAATACCACGATCGTGCAATAATTCAACGACGTCATTTCTGAATTTATAAAAAATTCACAGAGCTTCAGAAAAAAGACAGGAAAATTTTTCGGATCAATTGAATCAACAATTTTTCAGAAAACTCCATAACCCGGTAATTTTGGGTAAACAGGGAAAGAACATGATTGGAATAAATCCTTTCTTTATTTCGGGGAGCGGATAATACTCTCAAGTTGAATGGAGTAATGTAAGGGAGAAGAATTGAAGGGAATTTAGGGAATTTATTAATCAAGTATACGTGATCTCTGCGTTGATATCTCAATAAATGAAATTAGACGATTTTCTAAGGCTCATGCAAGTAGTTTCGGTAATGCTACATTAATTAGCACTCTCGTTTCGCTTAAACTCGGTGAGTACACTGAGGTAATGGTTAAATTTGAGAATTCATCTGAATCTCGAAGCTTTTACGGATTATTAAGAGCATGTATGGGTCAGGAAAGCCTACAATATACACATACGTGTAAAGGGTAAATTGGTGAACCACACAGAGAGGTTACGACTTTGATGGGGGTGACTTTAATTATTTTCTCCCTCGAATTCGTGCACTGGTATCGATCCAGTGTTATTTTTAACAGTTCATGTACACGCCCCATGCCCCAGGAGTCAATCCGTGAAGATGGAATAAATTCACTCGCAAATTCGAACGTTCATGTCGTAGAAATTGAATTCTCTTCGGTCGGGAGATGGTAATGCTCACTCGACTTTTATTTCCCCCATTTCTTTTGCAGTTTTTTTTTTGTCGGAAAATTTGTGAATGCCACGGTTAATGCGAGGAATATCACAATAGGAAATTTTTGTACCTTCATCCATTCAGGGCCAGACCATTTCCTCTCGGGATCGAGTTGCCCTCCAGCTTTTACCTCTTGCTGTGGTGCACTCAAGTTTTCGAGCTGTTAAAGTACCAGAAAGCCCTAGAAGTTGAGCATTGATGGCAAATTGGGGTGAGGATGGGGGAGTTGGGGTACGATATTTCGAAAGCCCCAGCAAACTCTCTTGCAATTCCTCCAGACATTTTTACGAGCATGGATTATCACCGTTTCATCGTCCCTCGAGGTTTACTGCTTAGATTTTAGCTCAAGTGTAATCACTCATAATTATCTTGACGATTTCGATTTTATGGGTGTACTTTGAACATCGTAAATGTCGGCTACCTTATGGGGAATTGATTTTTCCAGAGAATTTTCAAGAGTGCGGCAATTGGAGAGAATTTAATGCCATTTTTTATCGCATTTCTGCCCCGAAATTTCCATTGTAAACAAATTACAATTTCGGTGACTTCTTTTTTTAATGTTTTAAATAAGATTCGATTCTCCTTGTACTTTGGGGGCAGCGAATTGTCCAAAGGGGAATTAGATTCTCAAAGAGCTTAAAAATTAGGGGGAATTTTGGTGAATTTATCGGCGATTCTTATCGCATCTTATCTTTCTCCTTTCTTCTCCAGCCATTTAATCTTCTCTTTAATATTACTTTCTTTCTCATCAGATATTCACGACCGAAGTAACGACTTATTCTCCTCCATGTCGATGTTATTATGCAGTTTATTTTTATGAAACGCAAGAGATGGAGAAAAGAATGGTTTTTTTTTATTATCCAATGCCATTTCACGTTTAATACTCGGGTCCTTGGTCTTTATTGGATTGTTAAATGTTTCAGAGATCGAGTACAAACTTGTGGGGCAAATGGATGGGTGTCATTCATGGTGACGAGGTGGAATATGTGTTTGGACATCCGCTCAACATGTCCCTGACGTACGAGGAGAAGGAACGCGAACTCTCCATGAAGATGATTTTAACCTACTCGAATTTCGCATTTTCAGGGTGAGTAAAATCCACTGTTACTCCACAGCCAGCCAATTCTCGGGGGAGAATTAATTTTCAACCCACCCCGTTACCCTAGTTATCCACCTGACTTCCGGTTTTTTTAATCCTTCTCTCTGTTACTCTGAGAAAACTCGCTTGGGGCGAATAGAATCTAGTATCCTTCTCGGATTATTCTTCTTCTTGTTATTCCTTAGTGGCTTGTCTTTGAACGCTACCCACCTTTTCTGTTAATTTTTTAGACAGGCTTTCAGTAGCGAGACCACATCAAGGCGAGGAGTTTAGCTCCATCGTGAGGCCACCAGAATTTTGAATGAGGAATTTATTCTCTGCGGCCTTCAATTGCCTTTTAAATTTTATCAATTTTAGTACAAAATCGGAAATATCGGTGTGAATTGTTGCGCCATTTTTCAAACAATTTTTTCCCCAATTGAAATGCAAGAGGGAATTAAATAAATTCACAACATTGTCCTCATTTCTCGATTTTCTCCCTTCGCATGTCCATATGCGAGAAAACTTGTTCCTTCGATTTATCTCGTTACGATGCAATAAAATGAAGTACTCAACCCATCTCCAGGTACATTTACGTCACGTCCCACAACAGGAAAAATAAAGGTGTTCGATAGAGTCTGATTCGCCAGTACCGAGTGAAGCAGCTCCTGAAAATTTTATATTTTTTATTCCGGGCAATTACGTGGACATTTTTTCGAAGCGATTTGCAGGGACAAACGAGAAAATACGTAGACTTTGCCGATAGCATCAGATCCCATTGTGGATTTGATCAAGTGTACAGGATGGATCGATGAGGGGGGAGAGAAAAAGAGGAAAACGAGTCAAAGGGGGTTGTGGGTCGAGAATAAATGAAGAAAGGAGGATGATGGGTTCGCGAAGCCATGAAGAGACACGTTGGTGAGATAAAACCGACCCCTCGAGTCCGGTAAGGAGTTTATATTTCCCCATATCTAGTCTTTACGACAGTTTTTACGTCCCCTATATGGCCTTATGCTGTATTCCACTTCCTTCATACGTTTACATTCATCGGACTTTATCCTTAATTTCCCCCATTCTCTCTTCATTCTCCATTAGAGTTGGGGGAAAAATTACAAAATTAGCCCGATTATTCTCCCTGTACCGCCTCATCAACTCTCCGCTATTTATCATTAATTACGCATTGTGGGAAATAATTTTTCAAGCATCACTGCAAATATTTTTACATCCGATAATTACGCATACGGGACTGTCGGGTAAATTTAATTTTTTTCCACCGTCACATTCTCTCGCACCGCTGAACGTGAAAAATTTAACGGAAATACTTTAAACTTTTATGGGGCTTAGGGTTTTACGCGAAGTAGATGTTAATGTTGGGAGTGTAATATTGACGTGATTTTTGGGACAGTTTTTGGGGAATTTTTTCTCCGTACTGACGAGAATATCGAGAAAGAGCGGAGAAAGAGAAAGAAAACATAACGGTGGGCTTTGTTCTCGTTGGAGGTTTTTCTGCTCGCATGGGGCCGATAAAAAGAAACCCCTGGCACCGATAGCTTCTTCTGACCATCGGCCCTCGTTTCTTCTCGGATCGCTCGTCCATCCGCAAATGTCAGTGTAAGACAACTCCAGAAATTGCACGTTCTGGTAGAGAACCAAAGTCCCAGGTGAATCTCCATTGGTGATCTTCTCTAGATCCATTTATTCGTCGATCTTCCCCTCAAACGTAATAAAAGTATTTTCCACTGTATAACCACTTTACGTTCATTGCGTTTCGATAATAAATAAATAAAGCTTAACGTCAATAAAATTAAAAAAAAATTATTCACGTATGAATCTCCCGTCTATTCCGACACACATGTCGCATGTTTTTTTAATCCCACAATAATCATTTCGATTTCGTGTAGACATTACTTACATTATCTAGTACTTGTCCCTCTGTTGAACCCCCCGGAGACCTCTCAAGCCCACCCACATGTTCTTCACCACCGATAATCCCACGTCCCCAACACACAAACCACCGATTCAATATGAATTACGCCCCATCACCCCCAAAACCTACATGACCAGTTGACAACATGAATAAACAATCTGGTGATAATTGTTGTATAAGATAAAAGCGAAATGACGGGTTTCAGGAAGCCAACTGAGGGAGACGATTGGCCAGTTTACACACGTGACGAGCCAAAGTATTACATATTCAACGGTGATGAGACTGGAAAGCTGGGGATTGGACCTCGATCAACGAATTGTGCATTCTGGAATGAATTCCTCCCCCGACTAGAAGGTGTGCCAGGTATGTGGAATATAGTTTACTGCTTTTTGCTGGTGATTTATGCGGATTTTCAACATCTCGATAGCTGAATTTGCCATAATAGCGTGAACTAGGTGTTAATTTAGTGTAAATAAAATTATGTGTAAATGAAATCACTGTGGAGTATTGGAGAATTTTCATGTGATATTTGGAGTAGCAGTCCTCCATTATTCAATTGTCTATCTCCTCATGTGGCCGTTCCCTTACGAAAAGAGCAAATCGATCAAAAGCCTTGATGGCTATCTATTCCTGACGCCACATCGACACATGAGTGGATGTAAAGTGTCCAGAGTGACGAATTCGGTAGAGGAAAAACCCGGCCACTGTCAAAGACAACGAGACCGGGAGCCACTGGTAAAAAAAGTGATAAAAATGGTGTAGATAAAAAAAAAGATTAGTAACGAGCGTCCTAATTAAAGCTGACCTGGTCCGTGTTATAACGAGCACTCTTTTACTTCTCTTCCACTTCATCCATCTTCTGTCACTGTACCTCTTGGCGCTCATTTCTCTGGGTATTTCCACTGTTTTCCAAGCAACATTTCCTCATTCTTATTTTAACATATCGTGAGGAAATTGAGTTAACCCTCGTTAATGCCACAGATCGAACACCCGAGGCGTGCAATGGAGCTGTCGCCTCCAGTGTCTCAGCTGGTGCTGATGAGCTTCGTGCTGCTGCACTCCTGCTGCTCAGTCTGCTAACTGTTAGTGGTATCATCTAGGGAGCTCCACGAAGCCACACATGAATGCATCGAATGGTTGGACAACTTGGTGGAACAATCCGACAGGACGAAGACAAACGCCTGGAAACCACTGTGGGACGCAAAACGACTAGTAAAAATATGGTACGACGAGACGTAGGTGCTGATGGAATTGGAGAATACCTAGAAAATTTAGATTAGGCTGTAATGACAAATGAGGCCGGTGCGTACAGAGTTTAAGTAAATTGAGAGGTGTCTGGTATCATTTTGAGAGGATGGATAAAATGATATTGAACTGTGACACGAGAAATATTTTTCACGATGCCTAATTTTCTTATGTGAACGGATACGAATGAAAAATGTATGTTCTGAGAATATCGAGAGGGCAGTGGATGGCGACAGATGTATATGGAGTTATTGAATGACTCGCGTCGTTAAACTTGAATCTTCCATTTGGTACATATCACCTATACATACATTGAGAGATATTAAAAACACGAAATACATTATTAAATATACATATAGCATTAAATTTTGAGTGAAGATGCATAAATACGGTAATTAGGAGAATTTCGAGTGAAACAAGGATAGATTTATGAATAGATTATACATTTGGCGTAGATTATGTCCGTAGGATCAATCATCACCGGTTTGACGATGAGATAATTGAAGATATATATTTAAATTATATTGTGCCGATGTTCAAAAGACGGCGTGGACAAACGATTTTAGGGTAGACTAGTGCTAACGTGGAGAAAATGAAAATGTACATTGGTATGTGAATTTTTCTTCACGGCAGCAGGTGAAATTCACCAGAGAGTTTAATTATTTTATACGTAATGTATTGTTTCACGCTGATTCTTGCCTCGGCTTTCTGTCTCACTGATGTCAACTGAGGAACTAACGAAATTATTACCGACACACTCTGTCAACTCGAGGCTGAACTGAAACACCAGACGCATGCCGAGGCTGGACCTCGGTTGATCAATTAAGAGATTATCATTAAATTAAAAGAGGTGAGGCTGGTGATGAGGATATAACATGTTTTGATGGTTCTATTGGGTCATTTCGATTGATTCGTTAGTCACGTATGTTTAAAAAATTATGATAATTGAGTAGATAGCGACCAGGCACAGATAGGTAATCTAAAAATGATAGATTTAAGGGAAGAGACATTTGTGTACGCTTGTTAGTTTTAGGATTGAAGATTAATGAGACGAACGGGAGGGGGTAAGTCGTTGTCTTTTTGGTACCTATGGCATTTAGAGTTTAAGACACGGAATGTCCGCCTTCATTTTCCTCGCACACACATATCATTAGTTTCGGTAAATGCCAAGTATCCATCGATGTCCTATCAATTAGGGGGGTTATCATAATATTGCTGCAAGGAATATGGCTTTGAGACGTTGTTGTTGTTGTTGTTATTGTTGTTCACAGTGCCTGGACGTGTGGCAAATAAAAGAGAATGAGAATGAGAATGAGAGATGTGGGAAAAGGTGAGCTTTCAGTGAGGACAACCCTCCCGGACATTTTTCAGATCGATATTTTTCTCATTATAAATTCACAACAACTTTTTCGCCTCAGTTTGATGTGATTATTGCGATGCAGCTGGAAGTTTGCTCCAGTCATCAAGCAACTTCTCCCCAACTGTAATGTTTCCTAAGTTTTCCTCCATTTTTTCATTCAATTTTTTTTTATCATTTACTTTTGAAAATTGCAATTAGGGAGAATCTCTCATCGTGTTAAGTGAACAACCAGCGTAACGATAATTGCTTAATGAGAATACTGTAGGTTCTTTTACCTCATTAGTCATCATTGAAGAGTCAAACGAGCACTTGCGCTTGATTATAACGAGAAACTTATTTTTGTAATAATCTATAGGTGGGAGAGATACGAGAACCTGTGTGGGTTATTTTCTTCTGGGTTTATCGTAAATTATTTTGAGATTGATAAGAATAAGAGTTTATCTTGACATTTTCACAATCCTGCTGATGCGTCAATGAATGGACAATCAAACCCCTGTGCGTATATTAGCCGCTGGTTTTTGGGGTGGAGATTTTGAAAAATGGGGGAATCCAGGGGATCAGTTTGCTCAAAGGCGCAAACTTTGGTTTCCCCCAACTTTACGTTAGATTCTTGGCACGTAAGTGGATTTGCTAGTTGAAGCCCAGGACTAAAACTACTGTAACATGTTTGCGCACTTCGAGCCAACTTGGCCTGAAGGGTTCAGTCTAGTTAAAAGTCACCCCTAGATAAACGTCAATACACTCTCTAGAAAGATTTCTAACGATCCTGAGGAAAAACTACATCCATCAGTGTTGGGAATTTCTGTGACAATCTTGAGACGCAGGAGCTTTCAAATTATCTAGTCACCGTGTAACAGAACATTGTCAGAAAATGTCATTTAGATAACTGCATGTGAATTTTCAGTAATGAAAACTTGAATTCATTCGAGATCGAAACATTCGCAGGGAAGGAAAGTTTCTTCATGTTAGGAAAAAACTTTCTAGATTTATGAAAACTATTTTCTTGCATCTAGAAACTTCTTTTCTAATATTAAACTTTCTTCTAACATGGCGAAACTTTTTCTCTCTGTGTTCACGAAATTGCGTATTCATTTTAGGAATCCAACGACACAACAGTTTTTATGTCACACATTTATCAATAGCTTGAGATTGAAAAGTTGGCATAAAATTTAGATAATTTCGAGAGGTGACATTACCATTAATTTTCGCCATTAACTCTCATGCGACTAATCGAGAAAATGTAATGAAGCTCTGGTAGTTGATGAGCTCGTAAACCCAGAGAAATACTTTTCTGAAATGTTAATAGAAATTCCTCAACGGTGATGAAAATAGGTAAACGATGGAGATTGACAAATCGGCACATGTCACCCACGACACGGGATAGCACTGAATAATAAATTTTTGTATCAGTAGTTTGTTCGATATTCGTAGAGGCTTAGAGTGAAAATCTCCGAGTCTCGGTGTTGCACTAGTCCCGCCATCACCTACGATCATCCGAATATCATTTAATTTCTCATGGGAACCTGTCGCTGATAGAGCCCTCAATAGTTGCTCCTTGCCGACTCCTGCAATGTCAAAATGCGAACGAGAATATCGAGGAATACGTGGGGGAATGAATTTCGAAGTCAATGTAACACATAGTGAGATTGAAACATGGGAAATTGATGTACGCTGTATATAGAGAGAAAAGGAGTTCCTAAAACTAAAAAGGTGAAAAAAAATGATGAAAAAAAAATCATGTATTTCCTGTCGAGCTTGCAAGTTAATAAATAAAAGTGGAAAAAATATGTGAAGATGTGGTTGCAACTTCTATATGTCAACGTGTGCATCGTTTGTGGCTTATTGCTCTTTTGATCAGTCTTTTAAAATTATTGGGCGAACAAAAATCTTGGATAGCCCGTTCGATTGCACCGCAATTAGTCCCATGAGGATCACAATCATTACAAATCCACTGATTTCGGACAAGGGTAGTCTGCTTTTTTCAGGACGAACCAATATTTTATCGAAAGCCAGTTTGATAATCAGCTATTGGTGATAGTTGATAATTTGATGTGCGGCGCGAATCGAACGGTCGGGACCACTTCGCGTCACCCACACCAGGTACAATACTTAGTCAATTACGACGGCTTTAAAGGTCGTACCAAAACGATCTTCGCGTGCAATCTCACTTCTCCGGAAGTTTCGTACCTATTTATGTAATTTTCAATGTTGTTCTTTTAGGTTTTCCTTTGGGGGGTTTCGATTCGGTGGCAAGTGGTGAATAAGTGGTGAGTAATTCCATTTCATTCTCCCAATTTCCAGAGGAAAATTATCAATTCTCATTACACTGAGGATTAATCATTCCTCCAAAGCCACGATCATGGAAATTATCCTAGTGTTCACCACTTTTCTACGGAATTTTCTTATCGCCTGTGTATGGAAATATCAAATAGAAAATAAAGCATTCGATAGGATTCAATAGTTTTCCATTTTTCTTTCACAATTTCTCTACCCCCAGTTCAAAAAAAGAAGGAGAGGAGGTGTAAGAAATTTGGACAATTAATTTTCCAAAAAGACGAAATCTATTGATTCTTCCGGTAAATTTCCGTATAAAATGCGGCAATTTTCTAGTGAATTTTTCCATACACGTTCGCTGATAGTCGAACACCTTCACCCAATGAGAGTCCTCTGAGAATTAGCAATCCCTCGCCCTTTGTAGCTCAATGATGAATAAATCAATGAACAAGATAAATCGACGATTGAATGAACATAACTGTAATAATAGAAGTAATTATGCCAACTGATACGAATTAATAATCACCTTTACCGAACTTTCTAATTACTTTACCCGAAAAATTACCCTCGCGGTGGCATGTCGTTTCACCCTAAATGATAGTTAACAATATTTTATTGAAATAATTGATGATGACGCTCTCCTTTAATCCCGTGAACATTTTAGCCAGAATATAAATACGTATATGAAGGGTATTTCCATATTCATCATTGATCCCGATCCTTTAACTCTCCCGTTTTACCACCACGTCCCCTCAAAATTAATAACTTCAAAGTGTAAAATTAATTAAACAAGGAAATTCAAAGCTTCGCTTTATACTTTAAACCGATAATAAGACGACGTGAGAATGGATAAATCTACCTTTAGGTTATGACTTATAAATGATTAAATATGGATAAATATTATGAATGTTAACGTTGTATGTAATTATATCTGGAGCTATGTAATAGAGATTAAATGTAGTTAATAAAGTAATCGTAATTACAACTAATTTAGTGGAGAAATTTACTGATTTTTCATAGGATAATCGGGTCGGAGATGAAATGGGGAAAGATTGTCGGGCGGGGAATACTTGAAATTTTTATCTCTTCCCATTCCTCATTTCCGAGTAGTTTCTATATTTAGAGAGTTTCGTGCTATTCGCCATAACCCGGGGCCCCGAGATTATGCAGAATAGAAAAGGATGCCACGAGGAAGCTCAAGGAATGGGAAAAAGATTACTTGTTGACCTTGGGAACGTGGCAGAGGATCAGGTGGGTAAAGCAATAATTTATTAATGGACCCGTTCCAGGGAAAATGGCGAGAATATTCGGGTAATCAGTCCTTACATTTTTCATCGGTCATTCATACCAATCCTTTTAGCCGGCAATTCACCTCAACTCCATTTAATTTATTTAATTACCTTTGATTACTGAGGATCTGATCGGTTTCGCTTTCGGTCAAGTACTCAGGAAAATTTTAAAAAGAGGAAGATGAAAAATAGTCTGTGCTGCGTAGAAGAATTGAAAATGAATTATTGCAAATTGCAATTGACGGACTTTCTGGGGTCAATGACACTGGAGGACACTGGAGGAAGGACTGAATGATAAGGGTGGTGAGGACCCACTAATTGATCGAACCATTGGTAAATACAGGCCACAATAGTTGAGATGGAGATGCTTTTGATGTACGGCGAATGGAGTTAGAGGAGTTTCAGGGGTTCAAAGGCGTTGTCAGGAGGAGCAGAAGCCGGTTGTCGGACAGGGTGTAATTATCAGGGTTTCTCTGTACACAGCTGTCAGGAGGGGCCTGTTACATTGCGGTATGTCTTAATCGTTCATCAATTACCCGGACAACCACAATTGCAACGAACAAAACCGATTTCTGCTTAATTCAACGCTAAATGACAGGCGAAGAAATCATTCACTTTGTGAATTTTTCTTTGTCAGTTCCAATCTCCTGTACAATTTATTTAACCGAAAAGTTTGCAACAATAATCTTTGAGTTTAAGGGAATGCAAGCGCATGTGCGGTACTTCGCACATGTCAAATAAAATGTGAGAATTTAAAATCATTTACGGATTTCTATTCAATTTTTAGCCTTCGGTTTGCAAAGGGTGGAGAGAAAATCATTTCTCTTTGTTTTTTCACTAACAGAGTAAAAAGTTTTTATGAGGTATTCATGAAGAGTTTGGCAACTGCAGTTTTCAGAAGGCAATTGAAACTTTTGTCCTCGTTTAATAATCACACTCGCGTGAACGTCCAAGTGGAAACGATGTGCAATCGTATTCCAATTATGTCATTCAATATTTACTCGAATATTCGTCATTGAGTTAGTAGCAATCGCAGAATTAAAAAAAAATCGAATGGAGATACGAGAACTTAATTAATAACAATTGCACGTACTAGCAGATTGTAATTGATAATCAACAGAATAATGCAATGATAATAACTCAAATGAATGAAAAATGTGCATAATTATTACGTTTACCGTGATTATTATTTTGATAAGGTATTCGAGGGAAAATTAGCATCGAGAATTATCTGTCTGCTCACTTTAATGAATTTAGCTGAGGAAAATATTCGAAAGCGGAGGGAATTTGGAGAAAAACTCTGGAAAATAAACAGACGGTCTCTCACAACAATTGAGGATTCAGGGAAAACTATTAGGTGAGTGTAATTAGAGCGATTCATGGTTATTATTTGAAGTTCAAATATGATAATTAAAAATGAAATTGTTTATTTTTCTGGAGGACCGGACTTCTGCTCAGCTGATGTAGACTTTAGCGAGGAAGCTGGATCGATCGAACAAGCATTTCCGGCATGCGCAGAGCAAAAGCCCGGTTTATGCCTCAAGGCGGCCGAACAAATCATGAGCAAATTCACTGCATTCATGATACTTCCTCAGAATATGCCCCCAGCACTCTCATATAAACGGCATTAATTAACTTTATTGTGGAAATTAATTCAGGCTGTTTCAAATCATTCAATTAACTCAGACAGAAATGATTTATCGATCATCGCGACTTTCTTTGCACTCCAATCCGGCACCTGTTATCTTTTTTAAAAGCCCGAGGGCTTCTTCTCACGTGGATTTATTGGATTAACATTCGTCAAATATTTAATTAACATTTTTTATATTACTGTGATTTATTGGAGCGCTTTGTGCCCCGAAATTGAAAGAAAATCCTTATTAAAAAATCGGTACCACTTTTAGTCAGCCGACACTTTCAGCTCTTCCAGTCCTTTATTCCTTCGGTTGAAAAATATATGAGGTATATCATTTTGAAGCTGATGAAATTAGGTTTCATATGGTTGATCTTTTATGCCTGTATGTCGGTCCATACGGAAGTTATGGCGTCTTAAATATTAAAATGGATATAAAATGTCATGTCACGTTGCGCTTGCAGATTTTATTTTGAGAGTTCTTTCAGCATCTCATCTGACGATGCGCAATGGATATGTAGTACCATTCGAAAGCTAAGAGAACTTTTATATGAGATGACATTCATTTCGCTGTGAGAAAGACCGATATGACTAATTATTTTTTTTCACAATCATAGAAAAGACTGAATTTTTATCGAATTTTTCCCACGCAATTCTATGGAGAGAGGAGATAAAAAAAAATAGCATGAACTTCGGGCACCCTTAACCCGAGGAACACCTATTTATTTCCAAGGAGTTCTCGGTGCAGATGGAAATCTTCACTTGACGGAATTCATTTCCATGATATCGCAATCCAAATCTGATACTTTCATGCAAAACCCCCAACCCAGCGCTCATAAAAAAAACATCAAAACACTGTTATACGAATAAAAATAATGATACTTAAATTGTGCATAAATTTCAATAATTTCATCGAAATCAGGACTAATTCGTGAAGCAAAGAAATCAATTTGAGTCTTTAACGACGCTGTTATCATAATCTCATCAAGATATCCCTCGGTACGAAATTTTATTTATTCTAATTTTAAGATTGATATTTCGAAAGTCGAGATTTCGTTTGAAAATTATCACTTTTTTTTTCATTCTGATAATTTGTAGCTCTTGTGCATATCAGCGATTATCTGAGCGCCTTATTCACAGGATCTGGATAACAAATTAAGAATTGAATCCAGCAAGCGCTGATAAATCCAGAATATCCTCGTGTTCCGGTTATCGATCTCAATAAAAATATCACAATCTCAGAGATAAACTCTTATTCAGAAATTTTATCGATGGAAGTTGATTATAAACAGAGATAAAAAATGGGTATTAATTATTTCGTGAAATTAATTATCCTTATTGCATACTAATGGAAATATGCGGAGAATTGTGGCGCACGGGGAAGTTAGCGGACAAGGCCGCGAGATGTTGGATTTACTCGAGGAAAAAGCGTGGAAGGAAGTGGAAAAGAAAAAAGACGTCTTCCGGTCCCACCTAGCGAGATTAATAACCAGCGATTAATTTCACAGCTAAAACATTCGCCATCAGGAATAAATCCTTCGCACGCAGAGATCATCAGTTGAAAACGAACTAAATAATCAGATCCCACAAAGAATTTCTTCGGGGTTTGAAAAAATATTTTCCATTATCTGCACTCGACTCTGGACTTAGTTCCTTGCAATAATTTCTAGACCGACTACTCTGAGAATGAGAACACACTTTTGATGAAAGTATAATCTCCTTTTTCCAGCATTCAGAAGTAAAAGGTCAGCGAGTCTCATTTTCCTCGACATTTTTCATTAAGCGAAAGAATTTATCTAGCGTATTTTTTACGTCATTGGAAGTTATTGGATGGGATTTAAATGAGGGATGAAGAAAACTCAGATTCCTTTATCATAAAAAATATTGACAATGAATGATTTGTTTTCCTATTGGTCGATGGACCAATTGATCATTTCCATGAATCCGAGGATGTTATTATTACGCGAGAGCTCGCGTGATTGTCGTATTTTAAAAATTGATAACAGGCTATTTTCAGACGAAAAAACACCAGGAAAAATGGGTCTGATTTTTTCAGGTATAGAATCATACCATGCGATGGGGATACTCGATATTATTTTTCGGTCAAACAGAATTTCATTAGAGGCTTCTTAAAAATTTCCGATGGATATTCACTGGTATTTTTTCACCTGCGGTTTATCCCATAACCGATTTCGCGTTGTAGATTCTGTTCATGAATGAACAATAACTCACTCTAGAAGATAAAAAATATATATTTATGAATAAACAAATGATAATGTACCGCTGAAAATGAAGATAGCGAAGGAATCAATGTAAAGACATTTTTTGTCGCTATAATCGTGTGTAAATGGATAAGAGAAAAATTCCCAGACAAATTCCTGTGCTTGCCTTACAATTTCAGCGCAGACTGCAGGCTTCAGGAAAAATACTACGCCACTCAATAAAATTTCTCGACCAGTCTCAATTTCAGCTCTGCTGGTAATTTTACGCATGGCTTATTTTACCGCCCTAGGGTAAAAAAATACTATATCCATTTTAATTGCAAACTAGTAACTTGGAATTGAAATAGTAACATCGAAAATTCTTATTTCATATTTTCCCCAGTGGATGGCCGAGGGGTGGGTTGACGGGGACTTCTCGGTGGGTGAATTCTCCTCATCTGAATGTGAATTTAGAACTCATCAGGAGAATATACATAAATAACGGATAAATTCGCGCAAGTACCCCTCAGATGGGAATCAACTAACGAGCTGCAAGCCAAAGATTTCCCACGTGACACCACCCACCAGTCCACCCCATTCATCGCCGATGAACTCTCGGTCTGCAGCACGCAGTACATCGTGCAGCAGACAATAGGAGCAAGGGACTGGTTTAATTCAACACTACCATCTGACCCACGTAATAATTCGATATCCATATCGTATTCGGCCCACAATTTATTAATTACAGCAATTCAGTTAAAGCTTTCAAGGGAATGGATGCAAATCAGAGGAGAGCAGTCACTCGTCGGACTCTCCGACGCCATTTCTAACGTCTCAAATTATATAATTTATTTAATTATATATTTTCAAATCTGTTGTGCAGTTCAGTATAAAATTGGTCGCACACACAGAAATATCGTTTATAATAACAATTGGAATGTTAAGAACAATTTTACGTAACTATGACGGAATTTTTTCACTTTCATAATTGGTAAGCGAATTTAATTTCCTTGATTATTATTGAATATTATGAAGAATTTTTCGTGCGGAGGTCAGAATTGAAATGAATTAATATATTCTGTTACAGAACATTTAACAGGTTTATGTCATTGTAATCCTTAAATATATTTCCATAAGTTAGATCCATCAGGAAATACTTTCATCGGCCTTGTGACGTGATGATGACACCTAAACATAAACCAGAAGATCAACCTCTTTTTTTTTCTCAACGAATAATTTTCTTGGCATTTGACTCTGTAATGACTCATGGTTCGAATAAATTGATATTTACGAAAAATATCACGGGGTTATCACCCTTTCCTCCTCCATTCAAACTTTAATATTCAAGAATAAAAAATATGGTCTCTGGAATTCCACCACAAATGACTCACTACCGGGATAAGTTGATCCTAAATCTCATATAAAATCCACGGAAAAAAAGGATTTTATAAATCACCCGAGACTTAGAAATTTCTTTACTTTCATTTATTGAATGTAAATCGGGTGTTGAATCAATTGGCCAAGACAATACACCACGAACAAATTAGCAGATGCAAATGGCTACAAATATATAGAAGAACTGAATAAATATTTGAATAGCAAATAGAATCTAAAATACCCAAAACGTACAGTGCAAATAATCCACAAATCGGATTCTGTCACTCGATATAAAAAATAAAAAAAAATCATCGTTGAATTCGATAGAATTTTTAACCACGTGAATTCCACAGATTGTAAATAATCCGTTAGAATAATTAAACAATGAATTGTTCCCCGCAAGGTGAGAGGGACTGATCTCCCTGGAGATGATTCACCACATTAGTTCCACCCAAATCCCATTAACGTGAATTTCCTGGGAACTCATGGAGGAGGGACTTGACAAAATGGAGATAAAAAAAACTCGTCAAGTCAGTGACATATCGCACACTTTCGATCCCCACCAATAATTGTGGGATCGCATTAGTGAATGTGGAATCCCCCACACCCACATTTGCCTTGACATCGTCGTCACTATAAAGCCCATGTCAGACAGCGTGTCCGACAATTGGTTAGTGCTTACGTTTCGACACCAGTCACCTGACAATTACTCAACAACAAACTTTTACAATAATTATGACTCTAATCATCAGCAAATGGGTTGTCTGCATGTGCCTCATCGGGGCATCACTTCCCATCTCGTCCTCGTGCGCGGGAAAAACTGTTTTGCGTGAGTTTTTAATAATTCGAAATTATCACACAATTCACTCAATTCACTCAACAATTCAACATCATCATCATCTGAACCAACTGGCACTTTCAGCCGAACATTTAACGAATCATTCACAAAATATCGCGTAAACTCCCCAAATCCCCAGTACAATATAATTTTATATAATCTTCCTTCCATTCCTGACTTCTGTAATTAATTCAATATAACAATTGTCTTGAAATTTACAAGCGGTAAGTATCAGCCAGTGTCGAGGCTATCACCAAAATTCTCGAATAAATTTCCGTGAAGATTTTCCAGGAGGAGAAGAACCAGAAGATAAGCTAGGATAAATGATAACTCATTAAGAGACAGCCGAGTCTCATTAGTCCTTCGGACTTCAGTCCACTGGCACAATCCATTTAAACCGGTAATAATTGAAAAAGGAGAAAAATAGAATGAGGACGATAAACAAGGGGGTGAAAGGGGGAGTGAGGGTGTGACTGGAGGGTTGTTTTAAGGAGGGCATTGCGACGTCTGGTGAGGTCAAGGAGATCTTAAGAGCTTTACGTACTGTGCGCTTACTCTCTGTACGCTGTCTATATTATTTTTGTATCCCCTTTGTTTTCTCTCCCTTCTTTTATCTCCGGCTTAATCCGAACAATGGAGGGGTTTATAGCCTCGACGGGGTTTACTCTGCCTATCTGATGATTTTCCCTCAAAACAGATAACACGATGAAGTAGGGGATGGATTGCGTGAACATAATCATCATTTCACAGAAACAATCCACACTGAGAAAACATTTGAGTTAATTAATAAAAAATTTGGGTGAATCTAGCTAATGAAATTGATGAATAGTTGCGAATGCTTATGTGATCGCCAGTGCTAAATATTCAATTGAATAAATTTGTTTAAAACAATTGCTTGGAATTTTGTAAGTCAATTGCAACTTTCAAGAATAAAAATTTGAAATTATTAGTGGGTGGAATATGCCTGAGGATGAATTCGATTTTGAAACAAATTTAATAACCTCATCTAATTATTATGTATTTATCTGTTCAGATTATTCAGGAAATTTTTTTAAACTCAATAGTTATAAGAAATTAATACAATGGAATGGTATAACTATATCGTTGAGAATATGTTTTTACTACATATTTTTTAGCAAACGGTTAATTGCCGCGAATCAATTGAAAGATTAAATTAATGAAATAGTTATGGACTTGAAAATATTTTTCATTCGGTTGAATCGAATTCAATAAATACAACTATTTTTGGTCGCAGAGAGATAGGTTTATTGGATTTTGATGAATTTTCAAAATTTATATTCTCTCAGTGTAATGATTTATTGTATTTTGAAATCTGATATTTTTATAAAATGCAGAAATTCTTCAATCATTCTATCAATTTCAAATGAATGGATTCAGCTGCAGTTCCAAAATTAAATAAAAAAGCCGGACGATTTTCTTTCCGGAAATTAGAGGGGCACGGTCGATGTACACGCCTGTACTACAACTCAATCTATGTCGTGAGAAAAAAATCCAAACCATGTCAGCATGCAATACTAATTTTAAATAATTCAATTATTTTCTACTGAAATTCACGTACAAATCCTTAAAAAAATTCCAAACCTTGACAGTTAATTACATTGACTTCAACTTAATGTGGAAAAATCTGCCAGTGCACGGAGATAAATATTATTTAATAAAAATTACATGTGTTTTCTGTAAGTCCGGTGCGAAATATGGTTGTGGGAAATTTTACGGAACTGTCACATAATTTTTATCTCAATCCTCTGCGAAAAATTACGATACCGTCACTTAAGTTTTCCGAGACGATTCCGTAATCGGTAAACGAATTGAAAGTTCCATAATTTCAGCAAAAAATTCCTCTCCGTGTAAAATTCGCTCATCCAAGATGATTAAATGAACGTCTTTTCCGGCGAAATAACAATTTTTTCAACCGTTGGACCTCGAATAAAAAGTTATTTAATCCCACGACGCGATCCAATTAAATCCTCATAAAGCAACGGATGCGAATGCTGGAAATGTCATGCTGGGAGATAAATACGTGAGATTATATTTACCTTCCATTGGTATTTTTCTGTGGGTTGAGAGGACGGAGGAGGGAAATGAGGTATCGAGAGGATCGATGGTACGATAGGGGAACGGTCCTTCCCTGGGTAAGGCATTAGCATACGGCAAACATACGTTCAATGAGCCCCTCTCCCCTGCAATGATGGTTCATGTACCCAAGGTAAATTCATTAATTTCACACACATCTGTGAGGAAGATCAGGCGCACGCGTGACACACATTTGTGATAATATCAGTGGCCACAGCCTTACGTTCATGGGATTCAACTCCGTGTCCTTCCGGTTTTTTTTTCTGCCTTTTTTTTTCTGATGGTGAATAAATCTGCATTTTTTCATCGAGTGAAATCGAACGACAATTTGTTATTCCCGGTGGTGCTCTCTCATCTTCACCGGCACTTTATTATCATGTTCCCTGGGTTTTAATTGAAATAGATAATTCAACCTGAACTTTTCTTTTATTTCCGCAATCTCCATCATGCTTCTTTTATCGTTGCCATTAATCATGACTCAAGAGCGACATGAATTGCACTTTTTGGAAAAATCTTTCTCACATTTTGCTGTTTATTTTGTCATCGGTTTCACGGGCTTTTCTGTATTTCCATCGGTGCTTTCGTTTGCAGGAACTGGAGGTTTATCCTGTCAGGATAAGCAAACAATACTTGACGAGCACAATCGTTTGCGCCAACTCGTTGCACTCGGTCAGGTACATGGACAGCCCAGTGCTGCGAATATGATGGAAATGGTGAGTAACACAAATATTCGGACCCTCTCTCATTTTATACGATTTTCCCTCACTGAATTTAACAATTCACTATCTTGAAATTATTTCAATTTTCTAAAGCCAGAACTATTTATCGATGTATTTCCCTCCGTGTTGTTTCTCTCTCTTCTTTCATCTTGTTATTGTCGAATGAGAGGATAAGAATGGATTTTCATTCACTAAAATTAATATCTCAATGATAAAAGTTCAAGTGATAACGATTGCCCTCAGAAAAATGACACTTTAAATTCCGCAGTGTTTACCGGTTCGATTTCAGATAGGTCGAAAATCGCGTGGGATTTTATTCGCGTTATATAGGAAGATCCTGAAGTGGAGCATGAACGAATGTGTTAATGGATTCCAGTGTAATCCACGTGGAAAGCTCGGATCAACGTCACCTGGCATTGTTCCTTTTCATGCGAAATTCCATGTTTTTTAAACTAGAAATATTTCCATGTTTTTTCTTATTTTCATCAATTTCCACTTCGGTTTGCCAACCATTTCCAATAGATCTGGGATGATGAACTTGCATCCATGGCACAGCGATGGGCTGACACTTGCGCTGATAATCATGATGCCGCCCGGAATGTTCGTAAGTCGATGATTACTTCAATTATATTCAATGATCTCTTGTCATTATAATAAATTATAGTGCCCACCACAGAGGACCAATCACTTATTCCCAGACATTACCACCACTCAATCTTTTTCTCCAACAAATCCGGTAATTAGAGTATATGTAATCGTACAAACGTCTAACGAGCTCGTAAAGACATAAAACAGTTAGCGTGATGTCTTCAACGGACTCTGGTAATAACGTACCTCCTGAACTATCAACAAATGTCATTAACAGTTGGGGTTTATCCACCAGGAGTTACCATAAATCTGTTGCAAAAATCCTATAAAAACATAACGATATCTGGATTTTAAATGAAAGCATAACAAGTTTCGTTAATTCGTTGATTACTGAAAAATGAATGCGCCAAATGGAATTTTTGGGTAAAATTTTTGGGTGAAGTCATTGAATTAAATGTCACACCATTGGATAACTCTACAGGGAGATTCGCGGTCGGACAGAACATTGCCCGCACGTGGACAACGAGGCCCCCGGGGCCCTACGATGCCGAGCCCAATTGGAGGCGGCAAATATCCGGATGGTTTAACGAGGTGCAACACTATCAAGCTGGCTACAGCAGAGCTACGGGCCATTACACCCAGGTACGTAATCCTTTCCACAACTCCAGTTCAACAGAAGTCACAACTTTTCATACTCCTGGTTCAACTGTTGGATATAAAAATCATTATAAGAGTTATTTGATAAACCTTGACAAATCAACTCTACTCATCTAATGTTGCAATTGTTTCCAATACTCCTGAAGACGTCGTCTCCACTGGTGACAAGATTTAGAGAAAACTAAGAGATTGGTCCAGAACATGTCTGTTAGACTCTTTGGTACGTGATCAGTTTGATATGAAACAGAAGGGAGAAGAAAACAACTCAATTTGTTTCACCACTAGTCACAATTTCCCCCCTTTATTTCTATTTCCAAAGGATTAGTTTTTACTCGGTGTACTGGACTCATGTACATGAGATTCCGAGGAGTCACGTATCTTGGGTGTTGCAGGTGGTATGGGGAGACACGTTTGCAGTGGGCTGTGGCTATTCCTTCTATTACGATCCAGCACGGGGATATACCAAGAATTACGTCTGCAACTATGGACCTAGGTATATTGCGTGTAGTCATACCTTCTGGTTTGTCGTGAAACTAGATCGATGGTAATAGCTGGTTTTTTTTTTCTCTTTTCATCTTGTCTCCAGTGGGAATTTGCTGGGCTATCAGCCTTATCAATTTGGACAACCGTCGTGCAACAGCTACGGAATGACCTACTCTAATCGCTACACTGGCCTGTGCTGTAAGTTTTTTTTTTAACTTTAGGATAATTCACTAGCGAAGTGGTAGGCTTGCATAATTGCATTTGTTTTGGATTCCTTTTCAGCCAATATTTCGAAATTCGAAAAGAAACATCCACGGAGAGAAAACGCCGATAAAAATTACCTGGAAAAAACGCGTAAAATTTACGAAATTCCTGTGAGATTTTACAGTTTCCAGAATGACCTTCGTCCTCTTTTGATGGCAACATTTTCTGAATTTTTCAGATTTATCTCTTATATTTCTATGGAAATTCACCTAAAATCATTGGAGCATTCTTCGTGGAATTATTTTTTTTACGAAGAATGATGAGAGTTACAAAAAAAATATCAACGAAAATATCGTTATCTTCCTTCAATTCCGAGATATTTTTTATTCCAAGATACGTTTAGCGAACTTGCAATGTTTTTCGATATCACCACTATTCATCAATTGATCATAAAATATTAAATCACCCAGGCAATTCGTCACGAAACCTTTTATGACAAACTGCTTTAATGACCAATCGACAATAGCAAATAATACAGTGGAATTTGAGAGGTTTATTCTTCTGGATTATCCTTTTCTCAATTGCAGTGCTCTCTAGCCATTGGCTTAAACTGTGTCGCTGATTAAACCGTGAAATACGTAAAATTTAATGTTTTAAATGAAGAGCGGGAGAGGGGTGGGTATTGGGGGGCGAAACGGTGATATTATGGGAAGGAAAATGTTCCATTACACGGTGAAATTATCACTATTATTATTATCCCAAATTAACTATCCCCCAAATTCAGTTTTCGTTTAATTGTGACCGGGTGGGAACGTTTAGTGTATATTTTGATAGTGTGATTTTATTTCTGTGATAAATTATCCTATGATCATTTGTCCTGCGATCAATAGTGGCGTAATCTACTTTTAACGAAATTTTTTTCAGCTCGTGGAGGGTTTTATCATCTTGGTGCACTCTGCTCGTACGTTTACTGAGCTCAACCCCCATTGTGACAGCACTCAGTCAACTCAATCCTTCATCCTGGAGTGAGAGAAGTACAGAAGTTGAAATACGAAGAAGAAAAATATAAAATATAAATGAAGGAACGAGCGCATCATTTATATAGTCATCGCTTCGCTGGAAACTAGTCTAGGACTACGTAAATTGCTCCCACGAGTTTTTTCCCTCGAGTTGAGAGTTTTTCAGGGTTGGAGTTTCTTTTGGAGATACTGAAAGGCCTCGTTGTCACTGGGGAACTACTGTCTCTCGTGTCATGCCTGGAGGCAGTCTCGCTTCACGGCCACCACAAGAGAATTTATTCTAGTTTAAATTGTGAAAATGACTCTGGTGTGAATACCTGTGGGCCAGGGCCATTCTTCGGTGATAGATTCGAAATGGGATGCTTCTCTAGTCTATTACGTAGGAAATCACTGGTTTAGTCAATTTTAGATGTGATGTACAAATATCGTTGTTGATGTATTATGAATATAAATTAATGATAAATAATAAATATAAGGGTGTTGGATTGTATTTCTATAACAAAATCTATTGAGAAAGGGCAAAAATACATGCCACAAGTATTGAACTATGAAATGAGATTTATTATATACTGTGGGATCACTCTTCCTGGAGAGATCGTCTGGGTGATCATACGCTCCCACTCTCATTGAATGTTTAATAAATCCTCTGAACAAATTACGTAGCCTGAAAATAAAAAAAGCATGGTGCCGCTGCTATGGCCTCTGCGACTTCCATTCTTCTGGAAGAGAGTTCGAAGTGAGAACACGTTTCAATAAAACATAATTCAATTGCCTTTATATAAAATTATCCTTTATTTATTAACCTGGCATCCAGAAAACCAATAAAAGCGATCAACATTTATCACGAACTCAATTTGTAATTTATTCACTTATACTATTCATCTCCTGTTGTCATAACTTCCGAGATTAGTTCGAATCTATCATTTATAGAGTTCTTCTGAATATTTCAGGAATAATAATACACTTTCATATTCACATGATCGTTTGGGTGCTGAAGCACGTCCTGAAATCTGTATGAATTGACTCACAATTTAATATTCATCGTTTATGAATCACAATGTGGGAGTGCCAGACCGTTAGAACTTTCCAAGTCGTAAGAGCACCAGAAAATCATAATTTTTCTAAAGTGCTCACCAGAATTTTATGACTCTACATTTTAATCGAGGTTTAATCATTCCCAGGGGCCATTCAACGCTTCGCTCCGGCTATAACTGAATTCTGAAAATCGAGGGAAACAAAATAGATCCTGCGACACTAATGGGAGAATTAATGATTACTGAATCCGACGAGTTTCGATTATTTTCATTTCTCATTTTTCTTACGAGGAGGTTGATTATTTTAAGTTAAATTCCATCATGAGAATTGTAAATTACTGAATAACAATATTGAAAGAGAATAGATTAAGGGGGTTCTACACCCGTATATACCCAAAATGGACATTTTTTTCATTTTTCTGGCTAACCCGCTATGGAATTAGCATAAAAAAATATAAAGTTTTTACATTTTCTCATAATTTAATCACTTACGAAGTTTCGAGGTGCTGCGAAATTTTTTCTGCATTCTTTCCAGGCTTTTAAAAAAAATGACAAAACAGTCGAGTCATTAGATAACGACAAACCGCAAAACCATTTTTTTTTCACATGAATCGCATCAATAATTTGGCAAAAAATTGAGAAACGGGAATTTTGATTATAAATGGGTGTGGAACATTCTGAAGTAAATTATGGAATCTCACATAATTTTTATTGAATCCATCACTCGGCGTCATCTTCGATCAATTCTGTTGACTGCATAATGAGGCATTGATGTAGAAATTGCGTTAGAAATTCTGGACAGCCACTGGTCGTGTATCAATAGTAACCACAACGGTGATTGCTGTAATACGGTTGACCGGTTTTACTGGTTATATTCAATGTTACCGCGTTTCATTGAATCAGTTGACTGCCCTCAACTCTGCGTAAATCAAAATCCGCTGGTTATGAGCCAGTGTGAAATTATCGATTTCCACGCATTGTCATAATTTCAGTGGTTGAACTGACCAAGTCGAGGGCCTTTTCAAAGTGGAAAATGATGGAGTTTATGGGGAGCTTGGAATTAGGGTGGAGTACCAACTTGTGAGGGCTGATATCATCAATATTTCATTATTCTAGAGCCTTATTCATGTTCGAATATCCCATCCTGCTGGAAATGAATTATTTGATTAGTTGAATAAAACATTAATTCGATGAAGAATTTGTATTGGGTGCAGGAAATCAAATAGTCTCGCTCCATCGGATTGCATCATTCATCCATTGATATTTCATATTCGATAGAGAGGAGGTAATTTGCATTTTTCACTGTCGATCCAGAGGCCCATGGACTTCCGGGGTGAAAAGTCACATTTTTTTCGAATCGAATTTTTCCAGGCAAACTCTTGAGTTCGAGATAGTTCTTCGCTCGCTCTAACTAAAAATAATAAAATATAAAAGAGATTTATATCAAATCGGGGCAAAAATATCATTCAGATCAGATATTTCAATCGTCTTTTCACAACCTACCCATCTATGGCCTTCCGGGGCGGTAAGTGACTTTTTTCAAATCCACTTTGTCCGGGTAAACTCTTGAATTCTAAATAATTCCCCATTCACTTTATAACTGATGGAAGAGTTTAAGATTAATTGCTAAAAAACTCAGATTTTTTATCGTTTTGTTTTTTAATCGAGAGTAGCATGTAATTAAAAATATAGTGTATCAATTAATCTGCCCTATTAAAATTGTAGTTGATCAATCATTGTAGACTTCGGTTTTTTCATTGATAAACTATTGATTCCTTCAATTCTTTTTGAGAAAACTTTCAAAATAAAAGCGTGGAGTAATAAAATAAAGTGGGGCTGTCCCAGTATCAATTATTTTCACGGGGATGGTGCAAGTTGGGTGCAACCAGAGATTATAGGAGATATTGCCAGCGCCTGTACAAGACTTTTAAAATAGTCAGACCCCGTGCGTGTAAGTAAGACAGGTCGCGAAACCCGAGATTGTCGGTAATTTTCACCCCGCGAGGATGGATAAGTGAGAGCGCGAACCCCAGGGTGTCGATAATTCGAGAAGACCGTGAGTATGAATAAGGCAGAGCGCGAATCCGCGAGTATCGATAATTCAAGAAGGTCATGAGTATCACTAAAGTAGGGCGCTTCTTGGAATAGCGATGTCCGAAAACGAACGAAAACGAACGAAAACATCCGACATAATGAGGTGTGGAGTCACAGTGGTCATAGCATAATAATGTAAAAAGAATCATGGAGGATAACAGTAGTGGGGGCACTGAATTTAACTATAACTACAAGTTAATCACGGTTAACTTATCGAAAAACTGGCCCTAAATCCGGAGGTTCCATAAGCAACAGTGGCAGTTTAGTAAATTCTTTTCCGTCAAATACCTACACGGAAAGTTCGATTTTATTCCTCAAATTATGGGAAGGAAGTGGCCTATTCTATCCTTCAGATTTCTGCTGACATAACCCACATTGCCCCCATCATGTATGAAGAAAAATCGAACTTTTCCGTGTGGTGATGACAGGAAGAACAATACGCATAGAGGAAGGGAAACAGAACATTCAAACGCGCGTGTTTACCACCCTCGGGTTGGCAATTGACACGCGGGTGAGAATGCCCTGTTGAATATCCGTCCGTGGTCCACAATATATTATGACGATCTCCCAATGCGTTTATAAATATTTCCATTTGCAATTACACCAATTGCACTGACACGATGTGCAGGCAAAGCCGCCTTTTCAACGGCGACGTAAACAATGACTCGCATGCCAATGTTATTTGCCAAAAGATTTTTCGTAAGATACTCTGTCGGATGCTGTATTCGGATTATTCTTTCAATCTTTTCGTAACAGTACAAAAAAATGGTGCCAGGACCAAGTGAACACGGCATCCAAGCCGATGTTATTTTTGTAATTGAGGGAACAGCAGTGAATGGAGCATATTTAAATGATTTAAAATCAAATTACTTGATACCGACTTTGGAGTATTTCAGCCAGGGAAATATAGAAGACCGAGACTATGTCGCAGAGGTACCTATCCAGTGTTCAATCATTTTCTCTGGATGATTGCTAATTTCTATTCCCCACAGAGCAATACAGCATTGTACGGAATTGTTGTTTATCACGCAGCAGATTGTCTTCCAGCGCCAACAACTGCCACTCTAGGACCATTTTCAAATCCCCACAAATTGTTATTGACATTGGAGCGCCTGGAGATGATCGGGGGTAGGGGTGAATCGCATGCTAACATTGGAGAAGGTCTAGCAACAGCTCTACTCTGCTTTGAGGATCTGCAGATGATACGTGAACCATCAACAAATTCCCAAAAGCACTGCATTCTCATTTGCAATTCACCACCTTATCAAACAGCCGTTCAAGAGTCCTCCAAATTCGTTGGACACACTGTCGAAAATTTAGCAGGCCTATTTCAGGAAAGGAATATCGTTCTCTCAATACTGTCACCCCGCAAAATTCCAGCTCTGCTCAGGCTCTTTGAGAAGGCAGGTGGTGACCTTCAAACATCACAAACCAAGAACTACGCCAAAGATCCTCGTCACTTGGTACTGCTTCGGAATTACCACCTGAAGGAGCGTCCAGTGAGTCCACCGACGATTGTGGGACAGTCGATACATCAAACGAGTTCCACTGGTGCCCAGATACCCCTGAGTCCACTGCAGAATCATGAGAGTCCCATTGTGAATCAGGGGTATCAGACTGTATCCCAATCATCGCAGTCCCACACTCCTATGAATCCTTCAGGGGTCTTCAGGAATCCAACACCTGGGAGTATCAATCATCAGTCTGGTGCGGCTGCTGTTGGTGCAATTAATGTTGGAGAGATGAACCCAGGACGTCCTGGATTCAATCCACAGATACCTGGCCCTCCGAATTATCATGCTGCAGCAACACGAGCTGCACAGTCCAGGTGGAAGGCACCGTTCATAAATGCTGAAGGTGTGCAGAATAATCAGGGGAGTGCACTGATTGCTCAACTGTCACAGCCGCCATCCTCCTTCGGTCTCAATGTTCAATTCAATCAGAGAATGGAAGCTAATGGGGGATCAGTTATGAGTAGTAATTGTCCTCAGCAGCAACAAACGAGTCAGAACCCGTCCTCGCTTTGTCAGCGAAATCAGGCCCAAGGACAGGCCCAGTCCCAGGGTCAATCACTGCAGCCTCAGTCGCAAACCCTGTATTCGTCGGTGACACCCACTCAGCATCAAGAACAGGTTGGCCTCCAGACAATGCAAATCGCTTCTTCAACACAACAAAATCACTCTGTCATCTCCGGTGCTGATGGTGAGGTGCAACAAGGTGCTCCTACCTCACACCCATCACTTCGGGTAAATTTTCGTGCAATAATCAATTTTTGTGGCAATTAGAGAAGAGAAAATGTATTTTATGTGGCCCACCTACAATTTAAAAAAAAAGTTTTGTCTTCTAACAATACAATAATTGAATTTAATTTAATTTTCAGCTATCCGGAAATGTGCAGAGCAATAACATTCAGCAAGTATCACATATCAGCTCATCCGGGATCGAACGACCAATGATCTGGCAGGGAATATTGGAATGGCTGGAGAAACCAAAAAATCCATCGAGCATTCAGCAACAAACCCGACAAGTTCCATGTCAGGTCTCAGCAACGGTTAAAGAAGGTGAACCAGAATTAAAAGTTGAGTCTTGGCCACGTAAATTGATAATGCAATTGATGCCGAAGCAATTAATTGGGAGTATTGGTGGAGGTTATCTAAACAATTCAAAATCGGTGCTCTTCCATCCGACTCCTTGTGAGGCACTCGATTCTCTGATGAAAGTCATGAGCACAGGATTCGCTGGTTGCGTGCACTTTCCCTCATCCTCGCCTCTCCAGAACTGTGACATCAAAGTATTAATTCTTCTCTACACTGTGGGAAAACGTGCCTACTTGGGTTTTATTCCAAACGACCAAATTGCCTTCGTAGATCGTCTGCAAAAAGTCATCCAGCAGCAGAACACAACTCAGGCATTGATTCGACAGAATCAGATATTTTCACAGGGAGGTTCAGGTACCCCCGGTAACAAGCTGTCAGGTACGATACTAGGATCAGCTCCAATGTCTCAAGGAGGAATTCTTATGTCGCAAACTAATACGATAGCACTGGGAGGGGGACAAATAACCCAGAACGTCGTGCCTTCTAATAATCAACAACAAGCAATAACAAATTCGGGGCCCCAGAGTCAAATGAATCTACAAACTGGAGGATTGCAATCATCAGCAGTTGGCAGCGGTGCGAGCTCTGGAATGATAGTCCAACAGAGGCCAACTTTCGAGGGAATGGATATTGCTAGGCAGCAGAATCTCATAAAGATCCATCAGTTAAGACAGACACTTGAGGCAGCTCAACAGCAAGAGGCTCACTACCAACAAACTCAACTTGATATTCATCAAAACCTAGATGTGACACAGCACCAGGAAATGCAGTATCAACAAATGGAGGTCCAGCAAGCTCAGAAGGTTCTCAATGTAAATTCTGGAATAATCGGACAGCAATCCAACACTCAAAGAATGCGTTCCACGATGACGAATAATCTAGGCTTGAGGCATTTATTACAACAGCAGCAACCCCAACAATATCGACAACTTCTCGGAATGGGTACCCCCAAGGGTGAAATTACGACGAGGCCAATGACAACGAATAACTCTCATAATCAGCAATTCGATGACGTCACGAATTTTGATTATATGCCATAAAAAATTTTAATTATAACTGTGTGATAGAAATATATTTATATATATATTCAATTTCATATTTATATTATGAATACTTTATTATTATTATTATTACTATTATTACTATTATTATTATTGCTATTCCCTGGCAATTCATCATGGGCGGACCATCCGCCCATGTTCTGCCCATGTTCCGCGACTGTCCATTTAAAGGCCAGAAAAGATCGAAAAGTCGATTTTCGCGATTTTTTTTTTTTTCAGAAAAACTCGATTTTCTAGCGTTCTATGCGTCCTAGCGCAAAAATAAGCCCAGATTCGTAA